AATATGTATGTTATGCTATAATCATTATTTTGTTGTTGTTGTTATTATTATTATTTATGAGTTATTATGTATTTGAAATTATTTACTAGTAAAAGCTTTTATGAGGTTTTTTGAGGGTTTTTTTTTACATTACTGAACAATTTGTAGCTTTTGGATTTTTTGTAAATTTACAATTTGGAGGAATAACACCTGCAGGAATTTTTTTAGTATAACCGTTCATTACCAAAACCTTTAAAGATTCTGGTAAAGTACCGGGAGTTAATAATTTTTTATAGTGGACACCTAAATAGAGATGAGTGAGATTTGATGGTAAAACACCTTCTAAATTTTGATTAAACTTTTGACCAAATTTCATATAACGTAAGTGAGATGGGAGTTGGGTAATTGGTTGATTAAATTGTTGACCAAGTTCAATTGAATGAACATAGTTTGGAATATTCTCTAATGGATGATTAAATTCAGAGTATTGATGAAAAGAGATTGATTTCAAAGACTTTGGAAGAGCATTGGGGTCAAATGGTAAATTGTATGACTTTCCAAGATTAATGCTTTCTAATGAATTTGGTAAACTCTTTGGTACAATTGGTGAGTTAAAAGTATCGCCAAAGGTAAGAGTTCTAAGAGTCTTTGGTAATAGACCAACTGGGATATAATGATTGAAACTATCTGGTAGTAAAAGGAATTCGAGTTTTGGTGGCAAACTGATAATTGGATGTTCTGAAATGGATCCTTCATCATAAACTAAACAAGTAATATTTATTAGATGAGCAAAGTCCATTGGTTGATTATATCCTTTACCTAAAAATAAACTTTTTAATGTTGGTGGAAGTGCTGCTGCATCAAATGGTTGATTAAATTCGTCACCTGTCTCTAAAATACATAAATTTGAAGGTAAATCTCCAACTTTGAATGGTTGATTGAATCCATCACTAAGGAATAAATATTCTACAGAGTTTGGAAGTGCACCTGCCATTAATGGTTTATTATACTGCCCATTAATAAAATAAATATAACGAACAGAGTTTGGAATAACTCCTGGGTCAATATTTTGATTGAAATCTGGACCCTTACTAATACCAGTTTTATTTTCACATAAAAAACATAAAATAATAATATTATTTGGTATGGTATTTGGTGGAATTGGATGATTAAAACATATATATAAAGTATTTGCTGTCGTTGGAATTGGGTGTAAAGTACTTCTCCAATCTAATTATTATTATCATAATATTATTTATTATTATTTATTATTATTTATTATTATTTATTATTATTTATTATTATTTATTATTATATTATTATTTATAAAGTTTTTTTTTAGGATTATTGGAAAAATTATTATTTAAAATTTTTATTTTTTTGTTTTTTTAAAAAAAAAAAAAATGAATTAGTATGGACTGGTTAATTTAAAATTTTTAAAAATTAAAATAAATATGATAATTTACGATATTCCACAATAAACTCTGACTTTTTATCCTCCATTTGTGGTGCAAATGGATTCATATTGTGAGGAATGTTGAATAAGAACTCCTTAAATATTTTATTATATTGTCTTTGATCTTCATCTGTAACATCATGATGTGGTATATGATGACTAATCATTTTTTGACCAGTTTTAACTTGAGTAGCTATTTGTTCACCTATTGCTGCGTGTATATATAAATAAATAAATAATTGTTTATTATTATTTGCTAATGTGTTTTGCTGTTATTATGTGAATGTGCGAAAAACAATTAACTTTTTTTTTTATTTTTAAAAACAATTACTTCAATGATTATTGTTATTATTAATTGTTTTTATTACTGTTATTACTAATATTACTATTATTATAAAGTTATTATTTGTTTTTTTTGTTTTGTGTTTTGTGTTTTGTTTTAGTTTAACGTATTTTTAAAAAATGAAAAATTATAAAATAATGAATAATTAAAAAAAAAATTATTTTATTTTTTTAAAAATTGAAAATAAAAAAAAAAATTTTTATAAATAATATCTATTTTTTATTGATGTGTTGTATTTTTATTATTACAATTAAATATAAGATTATCTTATATTATTTTTTTTTTTAAAAAAAAAAAAAAAAAAAAAAAAAAAAAAAAAAAAAAAAACTATGAAAAAATATTTTTTTATTTTTTTTTATTTTTATTTTATTATTTAAAAAAATGTTTTGTGTTGGTGGTTGATATGTGTGATGAAGATTATTGAGTATTATTATGATTTTGATTGATTTTTATTACCATATAAAAAATAACAACATTAAAAAAAAATTAAAAAAAAAAAAATTAACATATAATAAAAATCTGTTTGTTTAAAAAATTTAAAATAATGGTATTAATAGTGGATGAAATTTCTCAAAATAAAGACACCATTTATTTTTCGAAAATAATTTTTATATGTTTTTTTTTTTTTTTTGATTCTTTAACCGTTTTCGTATCAAATTATTTTTTTTTTAATTTTTTAATTTTTTTAATTTTTAAAATTTTTTTGTTTTTAGACATAGGTTTTTGTGTGGTTCACCTCACCATTAAATGCAATCCACACATAAAAACTGGTCTCACCTCTAATAAGTGAGTTAAATATAGCCAATGGGTGTGTGCCTATCAAAATTAAAATTAAAAAAAAATTTTGAAAGAAATTTTAAGTAAAACATTTATTCTATTAAAAACCCAAAGAAAATTTATATAATTAAATAAGATTAACTTTTTTTCATTTTTTTTATTTAAATTTTACGAAAAAGAAAAAGAGACACAATGAAAAAAAACAAATAGTATCTTTTTTAAAATCTTGGATACCCAAAAAAACCGTTTTCTCAATCATATTATAAAAATGCTTTGATTTTTTTTTTTTTTCTCTTGATTCACACGGGCTTCTTTAAAAAAATATGTATTAACCAAAAGAGTTTCGTGTTGATATCATCTTTGGTTCAAGGAATTTTTTTTTATCTCCCCATTATTGTGTTTTTTTATTTCTATGAAATTTCTTTTTTTACTTTTATTTCTATTTATTTTTTATGATGTAAATTTTATTTATATTCAAGGGAAAAGTACTTAGTTCAACATCGAAAAATAAAATATTTTTCCTTTCTTTTTCTTTTTTTTTTTTTAAAAACTTAAAAATAATAATAATGTTTTTATTATTACTTTGTGATAAAAAAATTTTTTAAAGAAGAAAAAAAAAAAGAAAAAAGAAAAAATCTATTTTTGCTTATATGAAAATATTTAATGAGGATGGTACAAAATTTTTTTTAAAAGAAGAAAAAAAAAAAAAAAAATAAAAAAAGTATGTCTGCACTAATTTTTATTTTTTATTTTTTCTTGTTTGCACCTTTTTAAAAATAAAAAGGCACCAGTTTGTATGAACTATATTTAAAAAAAAAAATTTATTGGGGTATGTATGTCTTGGGTATCCAAGCGATAAAAAAAATAAAAGTATTTTTTAATTCATTTTATTTGATGTAAAATTTGTTAATAAAAAACATGATTGTTTAATTAAATTAACTCCTTGTGGTGATACACCACAATTTGAAATATTTAAAATTTTTATACCTGGGCACATTTGGGAGATTATATCCAAAGATTTATCAGTAATTCTTGTACGTTGTAAATCTAATGTGTTGATGTTGACATTTGAACGTACACAGATTTCTATAACGGCACTATCTAAAATACTGGTGCCACATAAAATTGCTTTTTTCAATAAAAGACACTCTCTTCCTATTCCTACGATTGATAAATCGGTTACTAAATGACAATCTGTAAAATCTATAACTTGTAAACGTTTGCAGTAAGTTGATAAAGAGAGTACAGCAACTTCACCGATATTTGTACAACCTTTGAGTGAAATCTCCTTTAACATTGGGCAATTGGTAGCTACTTTAATGATAGATATATCAGATATTCTAGTGCAATCATTAATGAGAAGACGTTTTAAGAATCTGCATCTTGCAATATCGATGATACCAGCATCATTTAAATTATGAGAACGTGATACATTGAGTACACTTAACTCGCTACATTGGAAACCAATTGCGCTAATACCTGATGATGAAATCTTTGGACAATTTGCAACAAAAAGTTTCTTTAATCTTTTACAATAGCCAGCAACAGTTTGAAGTGTTTCATCGCCAACAGAGGTACTGGAAATATTTAATACACGTAATAGTGGTGCTCTTTGAATGAATGCTCTTACGCCTTTATCACCAATATGTTTGCATCTATCTAAACGCAAAGTTTGTAAATTGGGTTACACTATTAGCCATTGTTTTTAACACATCATCGGTAATATAGTCACAAGACCATGCATAGAGCTCACGAATGTTTGATTGTTGAACAATATTTAAAAGACCATTGCAGCCCATTTGAGTTTCAGAGCAATTGAAAACTTCCAAGGTTAAACGATTGAGGAATTTAATACCAGTCAATGAACGATCTGTCATATTGGTGCAGCCATCAATACGAAGTGTACGTAGTTTTGGAAGATTTGATAGTAATGATGGAAGTACAGAGTCATTTACAAATGGTAATCTTGACATATATAGTTGTACTAGTTGTCTGCAATTGTAGGTGATGACATCGATAATACGATTGGTGGTATTGACACAACCAGAGATATTTAAGATACTTAGGTTTTTCAAGTAGCCAATACTACTAAGAGCCTCTTCACTAAATTGGAAACCATCATCGATACGAAGAACCTCTAAAGATGACATTGATGATACAGCAAAAAGAGTATCATTTGTTAAACCTTTACAACCAGTAAGATAAAGTTTTTGAATAAACTTTTGAGTTGTGGCTAATGCCAATATGGTAGAGTCACTGATGTGAGTCAAATGTGAAAGATTAATGGTACGAAGATAGGAGATACTGTTTGATAGTGAGATGATTGAGTTGTTTGTAACGAAATTTGTATTATCTACACGCAATGTATGTAAACGTAAGTTGCTAACAGATAGTTGTTTAACGGTCAAGTCAGAGAAACGTGGGTTGTCGTAAAGATAAAGCTCTTCTAAATCACTGAGGCTTGGTAAGATTTTAATTAATGACATTTCGTTAATTTTTGGTAAACCAGAAAGATTAAGAATCTTTAATTTAGAGAGTGGTTCCAAGGAAAATATACTATCATCCATAATATTTAAGCAGCCATCAATACGAAGTACATTAAGTTCTAAGCAGTTTCTACCAACTAAACTAATACTTTGAGCAGTAAGTGCAGGGTTATCTTGAATGAATAGTCTTTTAAGATTTCTACAGTTTATAGCGACAGTGGCAATACTATTGTTACTAAGATTTCTACATTTTGAAACATTTAAAACTAAAAGAGATGGGCCACAATGAACAGCAATATCACAGAGTGAAACATCAGTGATAAGTGTATTGTAAAAGAATAGGGATCTAAGTTTGGGGAATTTTCTTAATTGAAGCAAACTCTTTTCAGAGACCCATTGAATATGATTTAAACAAAGTGATTCCAAGTCGGTAAGTTTATTACAAATTGTGTTAACTGAACGATCAGTTAATAGTGTGAGACCTGATAAACTGATGATTTTTAATTTTTTACATTTACCTACTAATTCGCAAATACCATCATCGTCAATTCTAATACAGTTGTTTAAATGAATTTCTTCTAAATTCTTGCAATTAGATGCAATTTTTGAAAGATTGTCATTGGTGATTTGTTGGCAATTATTTAAATTTAATGATTTTAAATGTGAAAATTTGCAAACATATTTACTAAATAAATTACTTGAGAAATTTAAACAGTTGCTAAGATTTAAATGTTCTAAATTTTTACAAATTATTAATGATTCTAATAATTTATCATCAAATTGTGGAGCCATTCTTTTCTTTATAAAAAGGTTTAAAACTTTATCTGTAAGTGGTACTTCAGTTAATGAAGCACCAATACCAAATGATGATTCGGTATTACATGTACTAAAAAAAAAAAAATTGATAGTTAGTTATTGGTCTAATTTTAAATTATTAAAAAAAAAAAAAGTATAATGACACTTACTATTCTGGTGTGTAGGTTGGGAAAAATTCTGTATCGATTGGGTAATATAATGGTGGTGGAATAACAGTGGTGTTGTTTTGGAGTGGTGATGGAATTTGTGTTAATGAAATATTTGATGGTGGAATTGGTTGTGGGAAATTCATTTGTGATGTAGTGGTTGTGGTTGTGGTGTTTGGTTGGAAAAATTGTTGTTGTGGTGGTTGCTGATAGATTGGTTGTTGATAAATGGTTTGCTGATAAATTGGTTGTTGATAAAATTGCATTTGTCTATATGGTGGTGGTGGTTGTTGGTTATCTAATTGTGGTGCTGATGCTAATGGTTGTTCTGGTGATGTGGTACCCATCGAAAATGGGATTTCATCATTATTATTATTGGTTTGTGGTATATATGGTGGTGGAAATGATTGTTCATTTTGATCTAAATCTGGATTTGCCATTTTTTATATGTGTATGTGTATGTGTATTTTACAAAAAATAAATAGGAGTTTAAAAAATAAATAAATAAAAAAAAAAAAAACCTAAACTAGTGTTTATAAAAAGAAAATTATTTTGAAAAAGATTGTATCTAAAATTCCAAATGCAATAAAAAAAAATAATAAAAAAAAATTTAAAAAAAAAAAATAAAAAATAATTATTTTTTAATTTTTTAATTATTTTCGAAAATTTAAGGTTGTATTTTACTGTTACCTAATAATTTAAAAAAAATAAGTGTGGTTTTCTAAATAAAATGGGTGGATTAATTTATAAATTGATTACTATTATAATATAATGGGGTTGTAACTTTTTTTTTTTTTTTTTTTTGAATTTATGATTTATTTTTATTTTTTTGGTGTGCGTGGTTTTTGTTTTAAAAAAAATTTGTGATTATTATTTATACAAATAATTTTTATATTTTTACATTATTTCTGTTTGGTTAATGAGGTGATTATTTAATTCGATTTATTATTATAGTTTTTTCTGATTGTTTTTTAATTTTCATTTGACCAAATTTTCCAAGTTTTATCAAATGAGGTTGAAACTATTTTTGAATTATCATTTGCAATATCTACAGAGGTTACTTTTGAGGAATGGCCTTCTAATGTAGTGATTGGTTTCCAAGTGTAAGGTTCCCAACATTTAATTTTACCATCAAAAGAACTGGTTGCTAAATAACCTATTGATGTTGAACTATTATTTGATTTTTGATATTTAACACAGGATACAATTGAAGAGTGGGCTAAAATTTGATAGGCTTTTTCTTTTTTTCTTATATCCCATATTATGGTTGTATTGTCTTCAGATGAGGAGGCTATATGGTAACAATTGGGTGACCAATCAACAGATATAACTTGTTTAGAATGACCTTCAAAATAGAGTATAGGTCTACCAGATCTTAAATCCCAAACACGAACTAAACCATCTTGTGAACCAGTTGATAAAAGTGAGCCATCTTCTTGGACTGCTATACCCATTACAGCACCTGAATGACCTTCTTGATCTAATATACATGTATTTTGAGATTCAAGATCCCACATTCTCCAACTTTTATCGTTTGAACTAGTCATTAAATATCTACCATTTGGATGGAATGCACATCTATTTACAACATCCAAATGACCTTCTAATGACGCTAATGGAGTTTCACTTGAAAGTGACCAAAGTTTGCAAGTGGAGTCGGCTGATGTGGTTGCAATATTGACAGAATTCTCTGAGATGGATAAGGTTGACTGTGGATGGAATGCTATGCTACTTGCTCTTTGGGTATGTCCTGTAAATGTTTGAAGATGTTCACCTTTAATATTCCATAGTTTTGATTGCCCACCCCATGAAGAAATTGCAATTAATTGAGAGTTTGGTGAAAAAACAGCCATCGATAATGGACGATCATCACCAACTTGACTTGTTGATGCATAATAGTCTTTTAATTCTTTTCTTGTTTTATCTCTTGCCAATTCAAAATCTGTTTTTGTTCTATCTACCATCATTTGTTCAACTCTACCTACAATAACACCACCATGTGATTTAAATAGTTCATCATTTTGTTTCTTTATTTCCAACTCTTTATCCCTTTGTCTTTTATTTTCTTGTAATCTTTTTTGAGATTTCTTTAGTGAATACAACGCTATTTTAATTCTTGCTTCTTCTAATTCTTTAGTACCTTGTGTTAAAAAATTCTCTTTTTCTTCTTCGGACTCTTCAGGTTCTTCTTTTTTTAATGCTATTGGTGTACCATCTAATATATTTTTATCTATTAATAACTCTCTTAATCTGTTTCTCCTGTCCTCTGGCTGTATAAATGATATTTAATTAGTATAAATGGTCATGGTTATTGTTGTTATATCAATAAATTAATTAATTCATTACCTTTTCACCAAATAATATAATTGGTTCACCCAATTCACGAAGTTTTAACTTTACTAAATTATCATTTGTTGGCACTATAACTTGCTTTGCTCTCTTTTTTCTTTCGTAGTCGTCCAATGATTTTTTATGCAACTCGTGTGATTTTTGAACATGTTTTGAGAATGGTAAAAATTGAACACCATCCTCTTCATTATCTTCATCTTGAGATATGGGTATATTATTTTGTTCTACTTGTTTTACACTATCTTTTTTAATTTGCCCAAAATAAACTCTTTTATTACCATTCTCCATTTTAATTATGATTTAATTATATTTTTAAATTTTAAAAAAAAAAAAAAAAAAAAAAAAATTATTTTTCATTTTTTTTTCACATTTTTAAATTTTAAAAAATTTTTTTTTTATTTCCAAAATTTACACAAAACACCATTTATAATTATAACAATCTTCAACAATGGAATAACAATAGCTATATTTATATAATAAAGATTCTTTTTTTAATAGTATTATTATTTACTATTGATATTTCTAAATTAATAAAATGGCTTTTTTTTAAAAAAAATAAAATAAATATTTTTTAATAGCCAAAAAAACAAATTACTATATTATAAATTTTACATAGTTTGTGTTTTTTTTTTTTTTATATTTTTATTTATTTATTTTTTATTTTTTTTTATTTTTATTTTATTATCACTTTTTTTATTTTTTTTATTTTTTTATTTTATTATCTTTTTTTTTTTTGTTATATTTTATTTACATTAATACATATAAAAATAACTTCATGGATATTAGTACCATAATTTCAATACCAAAAACACCACCAATACAAACACGAACACTACCAATAATAATTACCCATCATTATTTAAATGAAGGTCAGACTGATGATAATAATTTGGCACAACCATTACCCCTTCCCACACCACCATTTATTATATCACCTATTCTTAACTCAATAAACAATATTCCTCCAAATAATAATGATACCAATAATAATAATAATAATAATAATAATAATAATAATAATAATAATAATAATAATAATAACAACAATAATAATAGTGATAACAACGAAACTATTTGGTTACTAGAAAAAAAACTAAAAGAATCAAATCAATTTAGGGATATATTAAATTCAAAAGTTATTGAACTTCACAAAGAAATACATAAAAAGTGTATTTTATTAAATAAATATAAAGAGGCATTAAAGTCATTGTTGGAGGATGAAAATAACAATTCTGATATCTCAAACCCTTCTTTTAATAGTTCACCATCTCGATCTCGATCAACCTCACCATCTCAATCTCGCTCAAACTCAAGTTCAAAATCATTTCCTAGAGAAAAATCAAGTTCGCCTAATAATAAAAGAAAATTAAATGAACTAATAGAGAATAATGAACAAAGTGATCAAAGTTTAGTTTTCCATAATATAAATAATAATAATAACAATTCAAAAATATCAAAAAAAAAACGAGGATGTTGTACTTTATGGACCATTGAAGAAGACTTAGAGTTTCAAAATCAATTTATTATTCATGGTAAATCTTGGAAAAATTTTATCATCCCAACAAAAAATAGAGAACAAATCCAAAGGCATGGTCGATATCTTATTAAAATCGGTAAATTAGTTACCAAAAAAAAATGATAATCAACACCATATAATTATATTTCAGTTACATCCCTTTTATATTTAAAATAAAAATACATATATAGCTCGATAAATAATTTTAAAGAAATAAAAAAATAAAATTGTAGAAAAAAGCCTATATATAATAAATAAATTTATACATTTTTAATAAATTAATAACAAGTTTTTTAAACCTAGTTTTTTATTATCACTTGATTTAATGGTAAGAAATAGAGTAATTTAAGTGACTTAATTTGTTGTTATTGGTATAACATACCAATACCAATCTAAATATGGATTGAAAATTTGTAAAATAGGGTGAAAGTGTTTAAGTTTTTATTTACCACTCTTTTTTTTTTTTTGAATTTTTGGAACTCCATACTAACCTAAATAATTAAGTTTTAAAAAGGGAATTTATAACAATGTTTAATTTCAACTTAAATAATAACAAATTTATTATTATTTTATTTTATTTTTTTTTTATTTTTTTTATTTTTTTTTTCTATAAATTAATTTTTATTATTTTTTTTTTTCTATTATTAAAATTTTTGTTATATAATTATATAGTTTATCAGTCTTACCTGCCAAAGAAAAGCTTTATTAAAAAAATGTCTAAGAAAATGTCTTCATCTGATGCCAGTAGAATTCAATCTGCAGCCGCCCGTCAAAATGGAGGAAGTGTTCCAGCTGGTAGCTTTGCTTCTCGTGCCCAGTCTGCAGGCGCTAAAAACGCTAATTCAGGTTCAACCTCAAACCAATCCGGCAAAAAATAATTTATCAAATTATGGCTAATTTAAAATAACCATAAATGTTATTTGAATTTTATTTAATTTCAAAATAAAATAATTATGTTTTTTTAAATAAATAAAAAAAAAAATAAAAAAAAAATAATTTTTTTAAAATTTTTTTTTTCATTTCATTTCATTTTTTAATAATTATTCTATTTCATTTAATTATTTATTTATTTTTATATATATATTTATATTTATAACAATAAAAAAATGTCCAATAAAAGACATTTATTTAAACATCAGCTAAACATCTCTAGTCAATCTATTATGAGAGGTAGCGATGTAAAGAAATTAAAGCAAAAACTATTAGATACCTATAAAAATATTTCAACAGAACAACTCGATGTTGCTGTAAATAAAAAGAAAGATGTTGGTTTTGTAAAGCTACCAAATAAAATTCAAATAATATCACAAGAAAACAATCCAATATTTTTTGAATTTTACGATAAACTATACCCAACAAGTAAGTTAATAATAATAATTAATAATAATCTTTTTAAATTTCTCGCTAATTCTTTTTTTTTCTTATTTCAATTAGTTTATACATTTTTTAAAATTCCAACATTTTTTACAATTATTTATATTTACCCATTGGTTTATCAGTATATTGAATCAGGCGCAGATTTAATGTTTCAAGGTATTTTAAATAAGGATGATGTACCAAAAAAAGAAGGTCAATTAGTATCAGTTTGTTTAAAAGGCAGTAACTACCCAATTGCATTTGGTGAGACTATTCAAAATATTACAGAACCAACTGATGGCATTACACCAATAGAATATAAAGGAAAAGCTATATCAATTATACATTATCTTAATGATAAACTATGGGAATATGGCACTAAAAAACTACCTGATGATTTTTCAATTCCAAAGCAACCATCTGAAGATAATGAAGACGATGAGGAGGTAGAGGAAGAAGAAAAAGAAAACGAAAAAGAAATAGATAGTCCTACCACTACCACCGCCACTACTACCACAACAACTACCACAACTACATCTACAACTACAACTGACGAACCAAATATTGAAGCATTAAAAATTAACGATGAAAACATTACAAAAGAAGAAATGGATGAAATTTTATTAACTAGTTTTTTAGGTGCTATTAAAAAGGGAATTAGTGATTCAGAATTACCAATTGTTTTAAAAACCGTGTTTTCAAAATATATGATATACTATCAGCCTTTGGGCAAACCTGAAATTAATTTAAAGAAATCATCATACAAAAAAGTGTCAGTATTTATGAAAGAAATGGAAAAGAAGGGGCTAATCGATTTAAAAGAACCAACACCTGGTAACATAGTTATTTCAAGAATTTTTAGAAATCATCCACTTTATAGTAAATTTAAATTGGGTGAAATTACAGGACCAAACAATTCATCAAAGGAAGAGGATGAAGAAGAAAGTGATCAAGAAACCGATGCATTTGGTACCACTGAAATTCAATATACACCAATTAAAACCATTAACGAGGTTTATATATTGCCAAAGCCATTGAAAGAATATTTAAAAGAAAAACAATTAGCAGATGCCGAAAGTGGAAGCGATGATGAAAATAACGACAACTGCGAAGATGATCAAGATAAAAATCAAAAACTTATTGAAAAATTAAATAGAAAATATTATTTAGCACCAGAAATTCAAAAAGTATTATCTAGCTATATTATAGATTACAAATTGGAAGATCCAGTAAAAAGATCGAAAATTAAAATCGATTCATTTTTAGCATCATTCTTACCACAATCACTAAAGAGAAATGATACTGTTGGCAGTCTAATGGAGAAAGGTCAATTCTTTATGGCATTCAAAGAAACATTAAAAAAATATTTAGAAATTATTCGTACTGATGGTTCAATAGAGCACAAAGAATTTTGCGAAATCACCATTCAAGTAAAAAAGATATCAAATAGATTTGTAATCCTCGTTACTAATTTAGAACTATTCAATATTCCTGTTAAAGAATTGGCCCAAGAAGGTATGAAAATATTTGCCGCAAGTACTTCAATTGACTATTTAAATAATCATAAAGCAATTTTAAAAATTCAAGGAAATGATATCAATAGAGTATCTCAACACATTCAAAAAAAATATAATATACCAAAAAAATATATTATCGAAACCGAATTTGTAAAAAATAAAAAAAAATAGAAACCGCAATGCTATAAATAGATATTTCTTCATTTTTTTATTTTTTTTTTATTTTTTTTTTTTACGTGTTTATAACCTTTTTTTTAATCCATTTTTTTTAATCCATTTTTTTTACCAAATATAATAATTACAATAATAACAATAGTACCACACTCACCCTATTTACTCATCATTATAATTATCTCAATATACCCCAATTTAGATTATCCTTGTGCGTATTATTTTTTTTTTTTTTTTTAAAAAATTAATTATTTTTTATTTTTATAAAAAATTTTTTTATTTTTTTTTTTATAAATTTTTTTAAAATTTTTTTTGTTTTTTATTTTTTAAATTAAAAAAAAAATTAATTAAAAATAATTTTTTAATTTTTTTTTTTTTTTTTTTTTATAAAAAATAAAAAATTAAAAAAAAAAGTTATAAATATATCGAAAAATAATATATAATTAATTTATATATATATATATTTATATATATACAATATATAGATATATTGTATACAGTATATCTTTATATCAGTTTCTAAAATAATAAACTATAAATAATAATTTTTTCAATAAATTATAAAAAAACAGTAATATCAAGATTTCATATTAAATATATAAATATTAATAAATAATTATAAAATATAAAAATAGTAAATAATAATAATTATTTTATTCATTTAAACTAAAATAAATACAACAAAATTAAAATAACTAAAAAAAACAATAAAAATCAACATTTAGTTTATAAACAAAACTAAAAGCACAAACACACAGATATAAAGCACAAACCATTATTAATTAAATTCTTTTTTTAAACAAAAATAAAGATTTTTAAAAAATAAAAAAAACACACAACACACACTAACTTTTTTTTTTTTTTTTTGTTATTTTTATATTTTTATAAATTTTTTTAAAATTTTTTTTTAATTTAATTTAGTAATAATAATACACACACAAAAAAAATATTTTATCACATTAATTAATTAAATTTTAAAATAATAGTATTTTTTTTATTTGTTTTGTGTCCCCTATAATATATTGTTCGATTTCTATTTTTTATAATAACTTTAGTGTGTTATTTATTAATTAGTCCTCCCTTTTTTTTTTTCTTTTGTAATGGTACTACTATTTACTTCTCCGTCAACATATTAATAAAAAAAAAAAAAATTTAAATATTTTTTTTTTAAAAACACATAAAATTTTTTTATTTAATTAAATATTATTATTTTTGTGTTATCCATCTGTATATAATAAAAATATCATAATATTATTTATATATAATAAATACCTATAACATTACTCATTAATAATATTTTTAAAAAGAAAGGAGAGCAAGAGTAACAAAGAAATGGGTAATTCTATAGGAATAGGAGTTTGTAACTCACCACCCTCATTAACTGACTTAATCAAACTTTATAATAATTGTAATAATAACTTAACATCACTATCATCAACAACTACAACCACAACCACCACAACAACGTCAACAACATCACCAAATATAAAATTTAAAGCAACAGCACCTCTGTCTCCAAATCATGGCAGTAATAATAGTAGCAGATCATCATCACCATCAATTTTAGTACATAACCATATTGTTTATCAAACAAACAACAATTTAAACTCTAGTAATGCTGTTAGTTGTAAATATACTCCAATAGTGGATTTATTTGCATCATATTTTTTTATATGGAAAGCAAGTTTCAATCAGAGCAGTGATGAAATTATTTCTTTTGACCCAGTTGATCCACTTCACTTCAAATACCACAATAGTACAGAATGCTATATAATTTTGCATGTAATAAATACTGAAACCTTCAAGAAAATTGTACCAGCATTTTATGATTTATCAAAAGCCTTTCTAACAGAACTGTCACCGAGGGAATCTCAATTTCCAATTTTTATTGATAAAAGTGAAGTTTACAAGGTAATAATTATATTAATACTAATGATACATAAACCATTATAGATTTATTAATTTTTTTTCTTAATATAGTTATCACACGATGTATATATTTGGAATGGTAAAAACTCTCAACCTTTAACAAAGGCACTTTGTATAGCTAAATGTAATGACTTTGTTAAAGCTCTTAGTTTTAGTGATAATTTGGCATATCAACAACACCTACAGCAACAACAAAATTCAAAAACAACACATTCATCACCACCTCAATCATCATCATCACCATCAAATGAATCCGATTCTAGTAAATATTGGAAATTACCAATAAACTCACCTTGTATTATTCAAAAACTTTTTGAAAAAGGTTCATATAATGAACTTGATTTAATAGATAATAACAACAATAATAGTAATAATAACAACAACAACAACAATAATATATCTGTAAATTTTTCACCAATTTCAAACTATTTTGACCAAGATGACTCGACTGTTTTATCTGGTGAACTAGTCCCATTTAATAGCCGCCATTATGATCATTCACTTTCAGAAATCAATACACTATCACATCTATACAAAAAAATATTTAAAATGAATGTAACCCCATTTTTAAATAATAATAACAATAACAATAATAATAATTATATTAATAATACCAGTTTTATAAATAATCATTCATCCAGTTGTATTCCTCCAGGTATTGAAGTTTATTCACAACCCTCATCAATAACGAATATAAACAATCTTGTAAAATCAAAAAATAATAATATTAATAATAACAATGATGATAATGATAAACCCGATAGTAATAAAGATGACAGTAATATTGACAATGTAAATAGCAATAATAATTGTGGTAAAGATGATAGTAACAATAGTAATAATTTTGATGATAAAAAGAATGATGATTCGACAATTTCAGATTCAAATATTAAAACTTTAAATCCAAGATTTGAAGTATTAAAAAAACTATCATATGCATCAACTACCACAACCATTAACAACAATAATAAACTATCAACAACTTTAACCTCATCCGAAATTAAAACCACAACAACTACAACAACTACAACAACGAACTCTGTAATATCATCTCTATCCCCATCATCCACATCATCACAAGCACAACACTCTGTCTCATCTTCTGCATCGACTACCCCTCCGATAACTTCATTTTCTACCTCATCCCTTTCATCTTCATCCTCGTCCTCATCCTCGTCTTCATCCTCATCTTCATCATTATCAACAACTACAACAACTATAGATATATCTATGCCAAAGCTAAGCATACCACCCCTTTCAATACCGCAAAATTCACAACAAACACCATCTCAACAATCAAATAAACCAACTGTCACAACACCAAAATTTTCATTAAATTTATCAGCAATTAAAAGTAATGGTACAAATAATAGTCCTGTTGCAACTACAAACCAATTAGCAACAGCTGAAAAGAACAATAACATTTCAAACTCAACTAATTTAAATGGTACACCAAGTAAAAAAGTTGTGCCGCTATTAAATTTAGGAAAACAACAATCAATGTCAGTGTTACCCATTCATGGGTTATCAGCATCAACTTCAACAGCTCCACCAGTAGCCCCAAACCAAGGCTGGGGTATGTTTAAAAAATCATTGAACTTACCAACATTACCAGATTTATCATCACTAAAATTATCATCACCACCACAAACACCAAGAGGAGGTGGTGGAGGAGGGGTTGGAACCACAAATATGATTGTTATGAATGGTAATATTAATGGCTCGTCACCAGAAGAAAGCTATGATAAACTTTCACAAAAAGAATTAAGCATCTACTTTGAACCTATTTTAAACAAGATTGTCGACGAAATCTATTTGGGTTCTAGAATTCCAGCTGGTAATTTACAACTATTAAAGAGTGAAGGTATTACTCACATTCTAAATTGTGCAGGTATGGTTTGCCAAAATCATTTTCAAGATCATTTCACTTATAAAACACTATTTATTAGTGATGGTAATGGTGAAGATATTAGCTGCCTCTTTTACGAAATACTGGACTTTATTGAACAAGCAATCTCGAGCAAAGGAAAAGTTTATATTCATTGTCACCAAGGTATCTCTAGAAGCTCAGCATTTGTTATATTATACCTGATGTGGAAAAACAAGTGGGACTTTATCCAAGCTCATGAATTTGCCAAAAGAAAAAGGTACATATCCAATCCTAATCCTGGATTCACGGGTCAACTAATGATATGGAGAAAGAATCTAATCAAAAATTTATCCGGTAATATTCGTGAGCCATCTCTTTATAGGATGGTACAGCTTTTGGGTAATATCGTAGTACCAAAAAAAGTGACCAATATCTCATATCATTCATTGGATGCAAGATGCTGTTTTATTTTAAGAGTAACAGGGTATACATTTTTATGGGTTGGTCAAGCTTGTCAAGGTATGTTGGGTGAAAAATTTTTAGAAGCCGCCAAAGTTGCAATTAGACGTTTCCAAGACTATGAAAACGATACAATGAATGTAATCGAGCTTCGTCAAGGCAGCGAAACCGAAGAATTTTGGGAATACATGGGTGGTGAAGGTGGAGTGGGTCTTGTGTTTGCCTATGATAAAGATTTCAAAATACAACCATACAATACAATTAATGAATACTTATTTAATCACCAAACAACCACTTATCAATCTTCTTCACCATCAACAACAACTACAACAACCAATGGTGAAGCTAAACAACAAGATGGATTATCGTTAAATGGTAATAAAAATAACTTTGTAAATAATAACAATAGTAATAATAATAACAGCAACAATGGTAGTGATAGGGCATATCTTTATCGTTTACTTGAAGACGATCCATCATGGGAAAAATATGACGTTTTCGATTGCGAAGATTTAGTAGATGATGGTTTATTTGTATTAAAATCCAAATATGACAACAAACTTTATATTTGGGTAGGTAAAGATATCAATGTCGACAGCTTTCACAGTATTTTAAAGAAGAATACCACCCCCAAACCTCAGTCATCATTAAATATTCATTATAGCAGTGACAATATAAATAATAATAACAAAAGTGATGATGATGACTCAGTCAATGATAACCTCAAAACTTCCAACCAAACGCTCAAAAATGATATTGGCAGAATGGCTGTTTACCAATTCATTCAAACTAATAATTTCAATTATAATACATTTTCAAATATAATCATCATTACTCATGCATCACAAGAAACTGATGATTTTCTTGATAATTTTTGTTAAACTATTAATTAAAATTAAATTTAAAATTAATAATAAACCAACCAATCAATCAATTATAATAATAATAATATTAATAATATTAATAATATTAATAATCAATTATAATACTAATAATAATAATAATAACAATAGTGTTGTTATATTTAAAAACAATAATAAAAATAAAATCAAAAAATAAATTAAAATTTAAATCCATTAAAATAAACAATAAAAAAAATATATATAGTTTATATTTTATACATAGACTCTTAAACACAAAAATTGGTTATTTTATTTTAAGGAAAATTTCCCAAAATAAAATTTTTTATTTTATTTTATTTAATTTTTTTTTTTTGTTTTATTTTTTTTAAAAAATTATCTGTATATCATAAATGGTAAAATATTAAGTTATTCTCTTGTTTAAATTTTAATATAAGCTTTCTTTTAATTTTATAATAATATAATTATTCTTGTAGTTCAAACGATAACATATAAAAATATTTTATTCCAAAAAAAAAAAAAAATATTTAAATAAATTTTTTATTTTTTTTTTTTTCAATTTTTTTAAATTTTTTCAAAAATTTTATTTTTTTTTCATAAAGATTCTTCGATTTTTTATTTTTTGTTTTATATTTATATTTAATTAAATTAAATTTATAATATTTAATAATGTCAGATCCAGTTGAACCTGTCAAACCAGTAGAAGAAAAGAAACCAGTTGCTGAAAAAAAGCCAGCTGCTGAAAAAAAACCAGCTGGTGAAAAGAAACAAGCTGCTGCCAAACCAAAAAAAGCTAATGTAATGGAAACCCTCGAAACCCCAGATTACATTAAAGAAAGAATTGCCATTTGGGAAGGTTTAAAAGCTCAACACTTAGAAGCTATTAAAAGTATGTATATTTCATAAAAAAATAAAATATAAATAGTTTGGAATAATAAAAATAAATTGTGGCAATGAAGTTACAATAAAATAAATAAAACTGCAGCAATGAAATTACAATAAAATAAATACAATTTGATTCATAGGAAACATAATAAAATAAAAATAAAAATAAATATATAAAAAAAAATGAATCGACATTCACCCATAAAAAAACTTTAAAAAAACAATACTGACTTTATAAAATTATTTATAGATTTACCAGATGAACCAATTTTAATTACATTACCAGATGGTAAAGTTATTCATGGTGTTAAAAACAAGACCACCCCATATGATGTTGCCAAAGGTATTTCACGTGGTCTTGCTGATTCAATTGTCAGCTCAATCGTTAATGAACAAATTCACGATATTTCAAGACCATTAGAAGGTGATTGCAAATTAGAGTTATGCAAATTCGATACTGATGCTGGTAAAAAAACTTTCTGGCATTCGTCTGCTCACATTTTAGGTCAAGCTATGGAAAGAGTTTATGGTGGTCAACTCTGTATTGGTCCAGCTACCTCTGAAGGTTTCTATTATGATATGGCAATGGGTGAAAAGTAAGGATATTATTATACAACACTATAGAAAATAACAGCATCTAAAATTCAAAATATTAACATTGTTTTTTTAGAATTGTTTCAGCTGAAGATTATAAATTAATTAATGAAGTTGCAATGAAAATTGTTCAAGAAAAACAACCATTTGAAAGATTAGCAGTTCCAAGAGATGTTGCCTTAACTATGTTCAAATATAATAAATATAAGACTGAAATCATTTCAAAGATTCCAGCTTCAGAAACTGTATCATTATATCGTTGTGGTACTTTAGTTGATTTATGTAGAGGACCACACGTTCCAAATACCTCATACGTCAAAGCATTTTCAGTTATTAAGAATTCATCAGCCTATTGGTTAGGTAAAGCTGAAAATGATACTTTACAAAGAGTCTATGGTATTGCATTCCCAGATAAAAAACAAATGGAAGAATATGAAAACTTTATGAAAGAAGCTGCCCTTAGAGATCACAGAAATATTGGTAGAGCTCAAGAACTTTTCTTCTTCCATCCATTCTCTCCAGGTAGTGCCTTCTTTTTACCACACGGTACCAGAATTTACAATAAATTGGTCGATTTCATCAGAGCAGAATATCACAACAGAGGTTTCAGCGAAGTTATTTCCCCATCAGTTTTCTCACAAAAATTATGGGAACAATCTGGTCATTGGGCTAAATACTCTGAAAACATGTTCAATATTCCAGTTGATAAAGAAACTTTCTCATTAAAACCAATGAATTGTCCAGGTCATTGTTTAATGTTTGGTAGTCGTCAAAGATCATACCGTGAATTACCATTACGTTTTGCTGACTTTGGTGTTTTACATCGTAACGAATTAGCTGGTGCTCTTACTGGTCTCACCCGTGTACGTAAATTCCAACAAGATGATGCCCACATTTTCTGTACTGTAGATATGATTGAAAATGAAATCAACAGTTGTCTTGAATTCATGCAACACGTTTATGGTATTTTCGGTTTCGAATTCCAATTAAACCTTTCAACTCGTCCAGAGAACTTCCTTGGTGAAATCTCTCAATGGAATGAAGCTGAAAAATCATTAGAAAAAGCTTTAAATAGATTTGGTAAACCATGGCAATTAAACCCAGGTGATGGTGCTTTCTACGGTCCAAAGATTGATATTCAAATCTACGATTGTCTCAAAAGAGCTCATCAATGTGCCACTATTCAATTAGATTTCCAATTACCAATTCGTTTCGATTTAGAATACCAATCTGATGACGCCACTGATGTTAAAAAGAGACCAGTTATCATTCATAGAGCTATTTTAGGTTCAGTAGAAAGAATGATGGCTATTTTAATGGAACATACCGCTGGTAAGTGGCCATTCTGGGTTTCACCACGTCAAGCCATCGTTGTTACTGTCGCTAAACAACACAATGAATATGGTCACAAGGTCGCTAAACAAATCTCCGAACTTGGTTACTATTGTGATATCGATGAATCCGATAAAACTATTGGTAAAAAAGTTAGAGAAGCTCAACTTGCTCAATACAATTATATTTTAGTTGTTGGTCAAGAAGAGATCGATAATAATAAAGTTAATGTTCGTACAAGAGATAATGTCGTTAGAGGTAGTATTTCCGTTGAAGAACTTGTAGCTGAATTTGCAGTCCTCTCAAAAGAATTCAAATAAATCATCAACATCCCAATCCAAAATAATAAATTAAAATTTTTTTTTTTTTTTTTCAATTAATTTTTTATTTTATTTATATATTTAAATAATTTTTATTTATTTATATTTTTTATTATTACACAAGTTTATTTTAGTTTATTAGTTTACAGTTCATCCAAATCTTTTATCGGAATAAGGTCACTCCTTGTTAAATTATTATTTTTTAATAGTAGTTCAAATAATAAATAATCTTTTTTATATAAAAATGGTGTTTCTTTAATTGTGAATTTTTGTTTGTGAATTTCTAAACCAAATACTTTTTTGAAATCTAACCCAACACAATTTGAATTATTCTCTGAACTCCTACAATATACTCTAACTAAAATTTGTTGCTCTATATTCATAATGTTGACAGTAACTAAAGATAAATAACATAGTTCTTGACTATCAAATGTTTCTGTTACCAAAAGCTTTGGGTGGCTTTTTAATTCCAATCTTATTGCATCCTCTCTTTTTAAAAAATTGAAAAATGTCTAATATTTAAAATAAAAAGGTTAATAAGAATATTTTTATTTTTATTTTTAAATATATATTTACCGAATATGATAAAGAAACATTTATATTGCTATGGTTTATAAAAACCTGTATTGTACTATTTCCATTTTCGTTTGAGGAATATCTCCCCTCTAATTTCCTATCACAAAATATTATCATTTAAAAAAATTAAAATTAATTAAGTGGAGTGTTTTTTTTTTAAATTCCATCAAAAAAAAAAAACAAAAAAAAAAAAACAAAAAATAAAAATAAAAATTATAAAAAAAAATCAAAAAAATCAATTCTATTACTTGAATTTTTAAATAAAACTTTTCTTTCACCTTTTTTTTAAAAAAATATTTTTTATTTTTATTAATAGTTTTTTAAAAATTGGGTTTAAGAAGATTGGGATGATGATGAAATTGGACAAGCATACATTGAAGAAATTCCAAAATTGAAATTACCAGCTGGACTTTCATAGTAATAGTCAACATTGAATTCGGTCTGTTCGTTACATGTTAAAATCATATTATTTACTCTTGGGAAACCATTAATATAGGAGTTGTCATCGTTTTGTGTAAAAATAAATAGAAGATTATTTTGTGATGAAACATAATGGCCTGTAGAATATGCACCCATTTCATAACATACTTGGGTATCGGTACTGTCATCAAATGAGATTTGACAAACACATGACTGAATATCTTTATCATTTATGAACATTTCGTTACAGTAGGTTTGGGATTCACAGAATGAAAAATAGAACTTAAATTTAAAAAATAACAATTAATAGATGTTTCAAATATTTCGATATTAAAATTATAAAAATTACTTACAGATTCCATAGTATTTGTTTCATATGAGAGTGTTTCGGTAATATTTCTGTTTTAAAAAAAAAAAAATTAATATTTAAATTTACTTTAAATTTTAATGAAATTAATATTTACCTTTTTAATGGATTTAAATTGTAATAACTGCCTCCATCAATTGGGAAAATGCATGATTTATAGGGTGATTCAGTTGGTTTTGGGGTTGGAATTTGCTCTTCTTCTTTTTGTTCTTGTTCTTGATTAATACATGCATAAGAGGTTTGAATATCGACAGTTGCGCCACAAAGATCAGATGATAGGTAAAAATCAGTGAATTCTAATGCTGTACTTTGATTACAGAGAATATTCATTGTGAGGGATTTTTTGAAACCATTACAAGATAATTGATCACCAGAGTCATAGTACAATTGAATACCATTTTCAATTATTTGATATGTACCAGTGTAGGTGAATGCAAAAGCATATTCATTTGTATAATATTTTTCGCATAATGACACGTTGGTACCAAACATTTCACTACATAATTGATCTGGTTGGCAAAGATTAAAGTAGAAATCAGAACTTGTTTGGGTATAATATGTAGCATATCCTGTATAAAAGTTACTAAATAAAAATAATTAAAATCGTATGATTACATAAAAATAAAAAAATTAAAAGGAAAAAGTAAAAAAATAAGTGCTTACCTGACAATTGGAGATAAATCTAAACCATTATAAAATTTACAATCACTTGGGATATCATAAGATGGATTTGGGGTTGGTGATGAGGTTGGTGATGGAGTTGAGGTTGGTGATGGAGTGGGGTTTTGACCAATGCAAGCATAAATACTTTGAATTTCCATAATAATATAACATCCATCATTTGACATATTAAAGTTTGAAACTAAAAATTCAGTGGCGTCGTTACAAATCATATCGAATGAAACTGATTTTTGTGATTCTCCACCACAATAATTTCCGCCATCAGAGTTATAGTTTAATTCTAAACCATTTTGGTTAATTTCGTATCTACCTGAATCTGTAAATGCAATAATATATTCGAATTCTTCTTGCTTTTTGCAAAAAGTAACATTATTATTAAATAAATCTGTGCAATATTGATTTGGTTGGCAAAAATTGAAGAAATACTCTGAGTCTGTGCTATTATCATAATAGCTATAGCCTGAATAGTCTTGTCTAAAAAAAATTTTTAGTAAATATTTTATCCTATATTTTAAATAGTTTATTTTTAAAAATAAACTTACGCAATTAAGAAAGATAAATCAATGAGTTGTGAACCAAATGGGAATCTACAGCTATTTGGGATAATTTTTCCTGGTGGTGGTGATGGAGAAAAAGTTGGGAATGGGGTGGTTGTTGGTGCTGGGGTTGGTGATTCTGTTGGTGCTGGAGTTGGTGATTCTGTTGGTGCTGGAGTAGGTGACTCTGTTGGTGCTGGAGTAGGTGACTCTGTTGGTGCTGGGGTTGGTGATTCTGTTGGTGCTGGAGTAGGTGACTCTGTTGGTGCTGGGGTAGGTGACTCTGTTGGTGCTGGAGTAGGTGACTCTGTTGGTGCTGGGGTAGGTGACTCTGTTGGTGCTGGGGTAGGTGATTCTGTTGGTGCTGGAGTAGGTGATTCTGTTGGAGATGGAGTAGGTGATTCTGTTGGTGCTGGGGTTGGTGATTCTGTTGGTGCTGGGGTTGGTGATTCTGTTGGTGCTGGAGTTGGTGGTTGTGTTGGAGATGGAGTTGGAGTTGGAATACATGCACTTGATGAGTCAATAACAAAATTATAAGTACATGGGGGATTTTGTGTTAATGAAACAATTGAAAAATCAACTTGTTCATTGCAAATAAAATAAAAGTTTGCACTTCTATAATAACCATCTTGACAAACTACATTATCGGTCGAATTGTAACTTAAAACAAGACCAGAGCCATCATTGACATCATTGAATATTGAATACTCACCAGTAAAAGTAGAACCTAATTCATAAGCATAATAATTATTATGTGTTTTATATTGACATGATTGAACATTTGAAACACCTAAATATTTTGAACATATTGAAGAACTACTGCAAATTGAAAAAGAGTACTAAATTAATTTAAATAAATTTATTAATAAAAAATTTAAAAAATTTAATTTATAAATATAAAACTAATTACCTGGTTTTGATTCTTATCTTGATATGAAAAATCTTGACTATTTAATTAAATAATTTTTAAATTATAATGAGTTTTTGGAAAATTAAAAAATTTAAAATATTTAAAATTTTGAAATTTTGAAAAAAATAAAATTTGTTTTAAAAATAAACTTACTTTGAAAGTGATGATAAATCGATTACCCCATTTGGAGTATTAAATACACAGGTATTTATTGGGTCATCAATATACTCTCCAAAACAAGAGGAAGCAAATAAAATTAAAGAAATAAAAAATAATTTCATTTTGTCGTTGTTTAAAAAAAAATGTTTAAAAAAAAAAAAGTTTCATTTTATTTATTTTTTTTTTTGAAAATATAAAAAATTTATTCGCCTGAAAAAATAGGTTTTGGTCGGAAACCAATTTTTACATTTTAAAAATGGTTCCCAATATGACGTCTCTGAAAATTGGGAACCATTTTCGGTATCGGGAATAAAAAAAAATTACCAAAGAATTCTTTTATAAATTTTATAGTTTATTAATTTTATTGTTTTTTTTTTTTTATTTTTTATATTCCTGGTACCAAAATTGGGAAAATAAAAAAAAAAATTTACATCTATGATAAAATTTTGATTTTTTGCTGAATTTTTTCTCTACACAGTGGACATATTGTTAAATCTTTACAACAGTTTTCGCAAGATGAGAAATGGCCACATGGAGAAAAGGCGATTTCTTTTTCTTTTTCAAAACAAATATTACATTTGTTTTTATTCTTTAAATCTTTTCTAACCCTTTCTTGAAGCTTGTTTATTTCTTTTTGTAACTCTAAAACTTGAGAATAATCATACTGTTCCAATTGAGACTCACTGATATCTAATTGTACTTTTAGTTGATCAAAAGCCAAATGAGTTGAATTTGTTAGTTGCAATGTTGATGAAAGCTTTGATTGATTTTGAGATTGAAGCTGTAGTTTTAATTCTTTAGTTTCCTTTAAAAGTTCATTTCTTGTGTCAATCAATTGCGATTTCTCTTCAAATAATTTCCTTTTCTCTTCAAAGAATTGATTCTTTTCAGTAATGTGATCCTCATTTTCTTTGGATAGTTCGTTATATTTTCTAATATGCCATTGAAGTTCTTCAAAGTATTTTTTGGATTCTTCTTGCCATTTTTTATGAATATCTACAATTTGAGTTTTAACTATACCATCTACAAATAACAATTGCTGTTCTAATCTATCTACCTTGGCAACCTGGTCTTTAAGCTGGGACTCTACATAAGCTTTTTCTCGGTTAACTCCTTCTAAAACTCCACATTTTTCTTCCAAAATCTTATTAGCATTTGTAAGGTTATCAATTTTATTTAAAAATTCTTCATTATTATTATTTACATTATTCATATTATCATTGTTATTCATATTATTATTGTCATTTTGTGATTGTTGGTTTTGATTTTGATTTTGATTTTGATTTTGATTTTGATTTTGATTTTGATTTTGATTTTGATTTTGATTTTCTAGTTTTTTGTCTTGTGTATATAAATATATATCATCTTTTGTATAGTCTTCTTTTTCTGTATCTGTATCTGAATAGTCAAGATCCTCATCATACTTTTTAAGCAAATCATTAATTGTAATCATAAGACTATTCGGTTCAAATTCCGTTATACCATTTTCGATTTGTTCTTCTTGTTGTCGATGATGTAATTTTTTTATATTTCTTAAATGTGAGAAAAGCATTCTTTCATTTTGCTCAGGGTCTACTTCGTTATTGTCTGTTTTTTCTTGGTGTATTTGGGACTCTAGTTTTAATTGTTTTATTCTTATTCTTTCTAATCTTTTTTTTTCTAATTTTTGTTGCTCTAATTTTTGTTGCTCTAATTTTTCTTTTTTACCTTCAATTAATAAAAGATCATCTAATGATTTAAATTGTTCTAATGTTGGTAATGGTTTATTTAGTTTATAGTTAAACATTTCATTGACTTTATCTTTTGAAATATAACAAAGCATATCTATAAGATTATTATAAAAAAATAGTATTAGAATATACACACATATGATGATTTAAAATAATATAATTTAAAAGATAGTTACAAGAAAAAGTTAAATCTCTTGGTAGGTCATGGGTTATTGGATTCATTACTATTCTATCATTGTTTATGCCACACGAATTTAAAAGTACATAGTTGAATGAGACTTCTTCCACAGAATCTGATTTCATTTTAATCCAGGTTTTATTTGAAAAGTCACGAAGATAGGTAACATGGGTTCCATTTATTGTTGGGTTGTTATCTGTTTCTTTTGACTCATGTTTATCGTATGACCAAACGCTGTATAAAACATACCTCCTATCTTTTAGAATTGTAAACTCTTCTGGGAACTTAAATGTTGGAAATCTGTTGTAGATCGAATCACTGTTCGATGGTAGGGCAGTAGTCAAATCTAATGATTTACTTGCAGTTGATATAAAAAGCATATTTTGTAAAGATTCTTTGGTAAGTTTATTATATTCTACTAGTTTCTCTTCAAATCCTGCTGGACTGGTACACGTTATGCCATATGGGATACTTAAAATGAGTGGTAGGGATAGTGTGGTCGCATCTTTTTCATAGATTTTCATAAATGATGAATTTATTTTTGTTTTCCCAGGTGTAATTCGTTCATTATTTCCGTGCAAACTTGTAACAGATGGGTTCTGGTTTTCATCAAATACTTGAAAATTATCGTGTTTCTCGAATTCTTCCTTATCTATTTGATTTTCCTTATAGGTGAAACGACTTTGAAATGATTTAATTTGGTCTTGAGAAAGAGGGATTATAGATTCAACAACTTTGGATTTTTCTGATATTTCGGCCACTGTTTTTTCTAAAATTTTAGAAAATTCAAACCTATTAAAAAGGTTTGAATTTACAAAGTATTTGACCGACTTGTAGAAGTTATAATCTTGCACTTCGTTATGATTGATAAAGAAAAAGAATAAACGTTGTAATTGATAAAATATTGTGGCAGGTTCCTTCAACTCTGCTCTTAGAATCTCTTCTCTAAACATTGGTATAAAGTACAGTGTTAATATTAATGATCTATAATAGTTTATTTGTTCCGGATGAGTTGACACCTTTTCTAATAGGTCATTAACAGCCTTATATGGTTTCAATATATCATTTCTTTCTGGCGATGGAGTTCCTTCAATTACTTTATCAATTGTAATTATAATAGAGTAATAATATGCTGGTGTACTTGGTCTGTAAAATTCTTCTAGATCATCAACTTCATTTTGATGTATAAAATCAGTAAATCCAGAGTATGGTTTGTTTTTTGTAAATTCGAATGATCTTGCTTTAATTTAAATTTAAAAAAAAAAATTTTTAATAGAATATTCTATTTAAATATTTTTATTTATTAATTTATTATTATTAATAAGTTCAAACTTACATTTCACATGGGGTTTCCCTTTTTTATAGCTATACAGTCCAATGGAGAAATCAACTTTTAAATTCTTATTAAAATCTTTTGAGTCATTTGAAATTAAATATATAGAAAGCCATTGATTATTATCCTTTGGAATCTTGTGTTGTGGTATTAATAATAATTGCCATGAGTTTTCAAAAATTTTAAATATTTGGCTCTTGAATGGAGTACTATTACTTAAATTTGAAAATGATGATAATACTTTAGTTTCTCTTTTTTTATTTGAATTTGGAAATAATGTAATATCTTTAAAAGAGTTATTTTTTATTGATGTTCTAATTTTATCTTCAAATTCTAAAAATTTAAATTCTTTAGTTTTAATATTATTTGTTGTTGTTGTTGTTGTTGTTGTTTCTGTTGTTTCTGTTGTTTCTGTTGTTATATTATTTGATGGTTGTTGTTGTTGTTGCTGTTGTTTTTTATTATCTTTATTTTTTTTTATCATTTTTTAAAACAACAAATATAAATTAATCACACAAAAAAAAAATAAAAATAAAAAAATAAATTTTTTAATTTTAATTTTTTTTAATTTTTTTTTATAAAAAAATTTTAATTTTAAAATTTTTCAAAAAACAAAAAAAAAAATAACAATTTTCATTGTTTTTTTAAAAATACATCCCAACTAAATAAAAATATTTAAATTATCTTTAAAATAGTTTATGGGTATAATAATCCATAGTTTATTGTTTTTTATTTTTATTAAAAATGTTAAAAGGTTTAAATAAAATAAAAATAAAAAATGGTTATAATAAATCATTAGTTTTAAATATCGGTTATTTTTCAACAAACAACAATAATCTAAATAATAATAGTAATAATAGTAATAATAGTAATGATAATAATAGTAATCCAAAATTCAAAATAAAAATCAGCGGTTTAAAATCTTTAAATATATCAAAACAAGAGTCATTAAAAAATACCAATAATAATAATAATAATAATAGTATTTCATCACCCATTGAAGATTCTAAAGAACCAGAAATAAAATCAACAAATGAAAATATTACTGCACCACCCTCAGTACCATTTAGATTGAAAGAGTTTAAAGAAAAAGAAGAACCAAGATCACCCTTTAGTAAATTAATAAATCCATTAAAAAAGGTCAAAGAACTCGAAAAAGGAGCTGTAAAGAGTCCGGAAATAATAAAAGATAGCAAAAACCAAGAAAGAGATTCAGCACCAAGGATTAGGGATGATGAAACTTTAATATCAGAACTCAAAAGAAAAGTTTTAATTAAGGTGAAAACAGAGTTAAATAAAACCGAATCAGATAAACCTAAACCAATTGAGGAGATGTCGGAAGAATTAATTTTACAGTATCTTAGACATAAAAGTAAAGAGTATAGGGTCGCTGGTGAAGAGGTAAACTTAAAAGACTGTCCATTTTGTGTCAATGTTCAAGAAAAACTCGATAATATGTGGAAATTATATATTCATTCACACACTGGTCTATTCTTTTGCCATAGATGCTCAACTAAAGGAAATTGGAATCATTTAAGATTAGCATTTGGCGATTTGAAACAAAATTTTAGACAGGCATTTCAACCTGCCCCAGTTAATAAAGCTCCACCTCCACCACCAATAAAATCAATGCTTGAGCATATTAGTGAAGTACCAAAAGATGTTTTAGAAAAAATAGAAACCTATTCAAAACAATTGGATAAATTTCCAAAGGTTTTACAGAAGCTTACAGGAACAGGTCCAGGAGAACGTGGTATAAAGAAAGAAGTATTGGAATATTATTTAGTCGGTGCAACTAATTCAAAATTTAAATCTACAAATTGGGACTCATATGAATGTGTAACTTTTCCATGGACTGCAGTTGATGAGCAGGGTAAAATTATTCAGTATCGTTGTAAATTAAGAGCTATTGAATCTAAAGTCCATCAAAGACTAGAGCCAGCTGGCAGCAGATGGGGTTTCTTTGGTTGGCACACCATCCCAAACGATTGTAAACTTATAGTAATAACCGAAGGCGAATATGATGCTATGGCAGTTTATCAAGAAACAGGTTTACCAACCATCTCTTTACCAAATGGATTCGCAAGTTTCCCACAAGTTATGATTCCATTATTCGATCGATTTGAAAAGATTATACTGTGGATGGATGATGATTTAATGGGAAGAGCAGGTGCAGCCAATTTTTCAGATTTATTAGGTTCACAAAAAACCCATGTAATTTTCACTAAACAAGGTCAAATCAATGGTCCAAAAGATGCAAATGATGCTTTATTAATGGGTAAAGATTTTAAAGAAATCATTGCAAGTGCAAAACCAATTCATAAGTTTATAACAGATTATATGCAAGAAAGACCAGAGATAGCTAAAGAATTTGAATTTTTTAAACCAATTCCAGAAACATATACAAATCAATTATTACCAACACTTTACAAATTATTATTACCACCAGCAACAACAGGCAGATTAAATTTCTTTTTAGGATTAAGGGTCAGCGTATTAGTGTCACAGTTTGCATTACACAATGCAGTTACCAACAATATAAGCACTCTTTATGTCACTGGTGATCATTTATTTAAACCAAAACAATTTATGGTCAAAATGGTGACCCAATATTTAAATTTAAATGGTAAAGAGAATGTTGACGAGTTTGCTAAAGTACCAATCCATTTTTCTGTATCAGATAAAGAAGGTTTTAAAGAAATCCTCCAAACAATGGCACTCGCAATACTCCAGTATAACGTCAAGCATATTGTTTTAGATAATGTAGCCGAAAATCAATATCAAGTAGCACCATTTGTAAAAATAGTTAAAAAGTTTTTAAATAATTATAAAGATGATATCAACATTACCATGGTTCAATCTTTTCTTATCGATCGTCCAACAAATAAAGAGATATTGGATGATGTCGATAATTACTTGCAACTTTATGAGGGCGAAAACTTTGACGATTTGGTTTATAAGAAAATTCAATATAAAGATAAACCCGAATTTGATTGTGGTGTAGCAAATGTTTTTTACGACACAGAGCCGGGTTTATATCACGAATTAAATTATAAAAATAATAGCAAAGTTATAAAAATAAAATAAAGTACATGTATATATATTTTAAAAATACAAAAATTTATTATTTAAAGTTACATTTTTTTTTTTTTTTTTTTTTTTTTTTTTTTTTTGACATTGTAAAGTTTATTGTTGAACAGTTTGTTGTTGTGGTTGTTGTTGTGGTTGTTGTTGCTGTTGTTGATAATAGTATGGATACTGATTATAATAGTTATAGTTGTATTGTTGGGTTTGAGAGTCTTGATGACCCCAAGCATGTTGATTATCAAAAGAGTTGGGGTTTTGGGTAGAGTCATAGTAGTATGCTTGATTACCATAGTAGTTTTTATAATAGTTGCTATAATAGTTGTTTAAATGTTGTTGTTGCAATAATTGGTAATGTAACTGTTGATTTTGTTTTTGTTGATTAAAGTTTAATTGTTGGTTCTGAATTGGTTGGTATTGGATAGATGGTTGTTGTACTTGAGGTTGTTGGGTAGTTTGAACAGGTTTTGGAGAATTAATATTGCTATAGTTCTTATTTAAAACTGTTTTCTTTTTTATAGTTGGGCTATTTTGATTAGATGATATAGCTTTTTTAATTAAATAGTTAGGTTTTAAGTTTTGGAAATTATTTTTATTTGCAGCTGGACTAGAAATACTGGGTGATATTGACATTGGTGAAATTTTTATTGATGGTGAAGAGTTTGAAGAAGAGATATTTGATTTTACAGATGAATCATTACCAGAGATTGAAATAGGGGATAAAGAACTTTTATCATTATTGAAAAATACAGGTGCTGAATTTGATAGTGAGTTTTTTAATAATGATTTTTCAATATTATTTGTATTTTTATTTGGATCTATTGAGCTACTTTTTGTAATTCCACCCGACATTGTTAACTCTCTTTTTTTAACTGTTTTATTTAAAAGTTTTTGTTTTAATTTAATTTCTCTTTTTAGTTTCTTTTTATTTATAAAAAGAAATGTTAGTGTATTTAAAAGATTATTGGTAATATTTTAAAGATTAAAATAATTCATAATTGATAATTATTTTTTAAAAAATAAATACCTTTATTTTTTTCTTCAAGCTTGCATTTAATGTACAGTTATATTTTTGGTTAGTTTCAATTGATTTTGGTGAGTTTGTGTTTGTGTTGGGTAAGCTTGAGTTGTTTTTATTTGGGCTAGATGATATTGAGGAGTTTAATGAATCTTGGTTAAAAAATAAATCTGACTGTGATGTTTTTAGCTCTGGAACTAAATCACTACCACTGCATTTTAAAGATTCCTTGGGATTATTATTGTCTTTATATTGATCTTTATTAATATTCTCTTTAATATTGTTTTTAGTATTGATACCACTATTATTGCTATTGTCTAATGTCTTTGTATTTGAAAAATTATCAATTGATAACCTATCTTTTAATAGAAATTCATTTATATCTTGTTGATTAGGGACTAATTCTTTAATATTTGGGGAAATATCCAAATCTTCCATTTTATTGATATAATGGGTTATTTAAATATATAAATATATATAAATATTTTTAAAAAAAAAGTAAATTAGGGGTTATATTCAAATTTATTATTATAAAACACAAAAAAAAAAATAATAAATTATAATTATAAAAAAAAAGAAAGTATGAATCTATTCAATTATTTGTAGATATATTATTGGTATAAGTTAAAAAAAAATAAAAAATAAAAGAATATAAAATTTTTTTAATATTATAGTCAAAGCAAATACGAACCTTTTTTTTTTTTAATTAATTTAATTTTCATCTTTAAAAAAGCAAACTTAGATATATTAATACACGTTTACTAAAATATAATTAGAAATTTAATTTGTTATATCAGGTAATTATTTTAAAAGTTTTTCTATAATTAAAACACACAATACTCACACCCACATTTTTTTATTTTTTTTTTGTATATAAAAAAGAAATTATTATAAAAATTCTAAATTTTAATAACAAAATAAAAATTAATTAAAAAAACACAGTGGGTTGTTTTTACCCCATTTAATATAAAAATAACTTTTATTTTTTTATTTAATTGCTATATAAAAGAAATAAAATTGATAAAATCAGTAACAAACTACAAAAAAAACAAAGAGAGGGAAAAAATAGAAATAATCAAAAAGCAATATTTACAAATAAATAACAATAAACAAAATAACCCTTTAAAAATAAAAAAGAGTCTAATATAAGAAATCCTTAATATTAAAAAAAAAAAAAAAAAGATATAAATAGACATACATATAATGAAAACAATATTGTGGTTTTATTTCCATTATTTAAATTATTTTAAAATAAAAATTGTGATTAGGTTTTATTCATTTAAAAATAATTTATGAATAGATTAGAGTGTTGTTGTTATTATTGTTGTTGTCTAGATTTAAAAAAAAATAATTTCAATTCACACTCACCCACACTTAAACATACATACAAATACCTATGTACACTAAACACCAAAGAAAGAAATTAAATAAATAAGCACCCACCCATATATTTATTTTAATCCTATAAATGAATACAACCTTTAAAAAAGAATAATTTTATTTTTAAATTGAAAAAATTTTAATCAAGAAAATAATATGCAGTAACAGTTATATTTCTTTTTTTTTTTTTAAATTTTTTCAATTATTTTTTTAATTATTTTTTTATTAACACCCACACCAAAAATAAACACAGTAAAATAATTTTTATATATAAATTGATCTAATCATGTGTCTAAAAATATTATCACTATTAATGTCCATAAATAGTAATATACATATATAGGGTTAAAAAAACAATTTTTTTTTTTTTTTTTTACAAAACAGTTGAATCAATGTTTTTGATATAAAGAAAAAAAAAATTAGTGTGCAGTAGTATGTTTTTTTGAGGGTGTTTTTGAAAGAGTTAATATCTATATTTGTGTGTTTAAGTGTGTTAAAGACTGTTTTTAAAGAGAAAGAATGTGTGGGTGATATAATGTGTGTTATAAAATTATTTTTTTTCTTTTATGTATAAAATAATATATTTTTTTATGTATATTTTAGGAGAGAATTGAATTTATATATTTATTTGTGTGAATTTGTGTGTTTGTGTGTTGATTATATTACAATATATATACTTATTTTATATATAAAGTTATAAAAAATATACTTATATATTCACTTTAAAATTTTATATATAGTAATTAAAAAAAAAAAAAAAAAAAAAAAAATAGAATAAAATAAACATAATTTTACTACACTCCAATAATATTAATAATAATATTAAAAATAATAAGAATAAAATATTTATTTTTTTAAAATAATTTAATTATTATTATTTTGATAATTAAATTTTTTTATTTTTTTATTTTTTTTTTGTTCTAATGATTAAATTAGTTAAATTTTTAATAAATATAAATAATAATAGAATTTATAATAAATATAGTTTTAGATTTTTTGATTAAAAATAAAAAATTATATTATATTATATTACATATTAATTAATTCATTCATTTATTTATATTTTATTTATTAATTGTATTTATATATAAGATATTGAAGTTAATAAATAAAATTTTACATTAATAAATAATATATAATTATATAATAATAAATAAAAAAATAATAATAAAAAATAATAATAAATAGTTTTTATTTTTGTTTTTTTTTTTTATTGTTATCATCACCCACTTTTAAAAAATCATTAAATTATATCAATATCAAACCTTTTTTGTTTTTTTTTATATATAATTATTTATAATTATATATTTTAATTATATATACAAGGTAAAAAATGACTATTATGTCAGAAATTATAGCCCAAAGAACAATCTTATTGACTGCTGATTTTTCATCAATCATAGGTTGTTCTTTAGTTTTATTAGGATTTTGGAGATTAACATTACTACGTAATCACATAACAAGAATTCTTTCATTATTTTGTGCACCCTCGGTCCTTAAAGATGTAATATCGACGCGTATTACTTTACGTTTTAAAATAAATAAAGATGAACAGGGATTCCC